TTCATGTTCAAATTAAGATCTCCATTAGTACCTGCTCTCCAAAACCTGTTTCAACTATACCAACTAAACAAATCAGGCTTAACTTCGAACCCACTTTGATGATTTTTTCCGAAATATTATAAATTAAATTTTAGAAGTCTTTCTATTAAGACTTCTCATTTATAAAAAGAATAGTTAAAATACAGAACATTCACCTAGCTTATTCAATGGACAGTGAGAGGTTCAGGAATTCAGTTCTATCATGTGTTGACTTATCATGCTAAGCCTTGAGATTGAAGGCTATCCAAACTCTGCCCACTTTATTTAGATTCCACCTCATTTGGGTGGCTTCCAATAAGAACATAAGGAATGATGTAACTAGAAAAAAAAATAAAAATAAACGTGCATAAGAAAAAAGTAGTCCAGGTAAGGAAAAAATAGGAAAAAAAAATTATAAGAGATAGTTATTACAGGCAAGCCTCCAAGAGATCATGTGAAAAGAGATCGATTGTCATTAATTTTAGAAGAAAAATTGAAACTTCCAGTTTACACAGGAAGTCGGGTTTTTCTAAGAAGTGAATGTCAAAGTAGTTGCCCCAAGGAACCTTAGAAAGGAGCACTGAATGGTGACGAGGACAATATTTTCAGCAACATTCTCATAGCAGAGAATGGAAATGGGGTAAATATAGCTGATCTTGTCATATCCTGATGACTTGGCTGTGATAAGAGTGTGAGTTCTAATGGACTCTTTTTTACCACATGTGAATTTCAAATCAATCCCTTTGGGCACTGGGGCTGGTAAGGTCTTAGATAGTTTTCAATGATCCCACCTCATAGCATGCATGTCCTTGTGTGATCTTCATCCCTTGAGAGTGGACAGGATCTGTGACTTGTTTCTAACCAATAGAATACAGTGCACTTGATGAGATGTTAACTCCCTGAAAATGCTACATAGGATTGTAACTTCCATCCTGCTTGCAGACTTTTGACTCTCTCCCTTGCTGGGTTTTATAGAGTAAGTCTTCTTATGGAGAGGTCCATTGGGCGAGAAACCGAGAGCAACCTCCAGGCAACAGTACTGAGCAAGGAACTGAATCCTTCCCATAGCACATGAGCTTGGAGGTGGATCTTTTTATAGGAAAGTCTCAAAAGGTATCCCGACTCTGACCAACATCTTCAGCAGTAGCCATGCCTTGGCCAACACCATTACTATAACCCTGTGAGACCTTGAGCCATGCTCAGATTCCAGACCCACAGAGACTGTGAGGTCATAAATACATGTTGTCTTAATCTGGTAAGATTATAGTAACTTCTTATGCAACAAATAATATGCAACACACAGTAAATAAGACACATCTTCAAGGTATGTAAAGCAGCGTATGTGCTTATGCTAGGCTGAATGTACAACTCAGGTAGTGCTTTGGAATATCAGGTAGTGGTTTGTTTTAAGGTTGTGGTCACCTTTCAAGCTTTTCATTTTGACATCTCTCTCTCTCATTAGTACAGATGTCAAATCACAAGCACATGGTTTATATGTGAATAACTTTTCCATGGACTCAGAATTAGATAAAATGTGTGTGTTCAGGTAATTAGAAAGTCATAAAAACATAAAAACGGAAGGGAAACGTGTGTATTGTTGGGCTCATGACAGGCGCCTTGGGAAAATTCCACTAGCTTCTTCAAGCCTCTCCATGTAGTTTGTCACACAATCCAAGAAGAACCAGTGTGTTTAAAAGAAATATGCATACATATTCACAGGGGAGCTGGGGCTCGTGAGGATGTTCAGTACAGAGAATGATCTGTTTTGGAATAAGAGCTCTAGAGACTGAGAAGTGGGAGAAAGAAATTCTTCATTTGGTTATTCATTCAACAAATAACTTTTGGTTTGGCTTCCAAGAACCAGGCCCTTCTAGATGGTGGAGATAAAGAAGGGGGGAACCTTACCAACAAACTCACAATCTAGCATGGATAAGAGCTCTGATGCGGTCTTGTAGAAATAGATCCTAGCTTATACTTTACATGCATTGGCTTATTTGATTCAGAAAACAAAAGCCTGATTGAAGTTTAGGAGTCATAGAGCAAGCAAAGTGCAAAGCTGGAATTTGATCCTGAGTCTTCTGACTTTAGAAATTGCTTTTGGCCCCGTTACTGTCTTCTGGCTTAATAAGAGTCTCTCACCTTACAAAAGTTATCATGTTATTATAAAACATCTAGAAAATATGAGCAAATAAGTGGACAAAAACATTCACTTGCTCTCACTGCCATTTCTGTACAGCTATCATTTTGGAACATTATAGGTATTTTAGTGGACAGATGGACAGATAATTATCTATGTGAGCCTAGTTGGATAAGCAAGTTGTGTTTGATTTTCCAGGCCCTTTGAGGTTTCTCACTTTGAAGGATTTTTGCTGGAAGCTACTTAAAATCAGCAGCTCTTCTGACTCTCTTAAAAGCCTAACCTCATAGAAAAGATGATGTTTCCTTATCCCATAGAAAGAAAGAAAGGGGTTATCTTAACTGATCAAAAGGAGAAAGGAGCACTTTCTAGATAGTTAAGAGATTAAAAAAAAAAAGCAATGGATCCTACTTAGGGGGGCGAGACACAGTGGTGGAGATGGGGAGCCCTCAGAGAAGGGAAGCTGTGGGGTTCACCAGAGAGGGTGAACCCCAGGGACAAGGCCAACCCCAAACATGGCACAAAAACTAGAAGCACCTCTGCATCTAAGGGACCATGGGGTCATGTGCCTTGGCATACAGCATGGAAGAAATAGCATTTGCCTGAGCTAATGAACTGTGACAAATGACCTGAGGGATCCTCCCAATAATTTGGGTCTCCTTAAGATCCCGGGATTCCTGCACAACTCTGAAAAGGAGAAAACTCCAGTTATGGATGAGAGAAAATATTCTAAAAAAAATATTCTGCATTCTTGCACTGGGGGTGCTGGGAGGCAGATGGAAAGAAAACATAACACTTCTGACATCCCTGACTTTATGGACTAATAGCCACAAAATCCATGCTTGCTCTGCCAGCTCTGTAAATATTAATTCAGAGAGTATGACCTAGTGGACACTTTTAAGGGATACTAAGACAGATAAGGCAGGATCTCTTCACTTGTAATCTATTGAAAAAAATCAAAAATAAATAAGCCTTTTAAGAATTGTATATATCAAGTGTCCAATGAATCCAGATGATGCCTTTCTCAATTTTGCAAGTGATAGTCAATCAGTTAGGCTTCTCCAGAGAAATAGAACCAGTAAGACAGACAGACAGATAGATGATAGATAGATGATAGATAGATGATAGATGATAGATAGATAGATAGATAGATAGATAGATAGATAGATAGATAGATAGATAGATTGATTGATATAGAGATGAAGAATTATCTTAGGGAACTGGCTGATGTGATTGTGGAATCTGGCTGGACAAATCCTAAATTTTAGGGCAAGCCAGCAGGCAGGAAACTCTCAGGCAGAAGTAGATGCTATAGACTTGAGGCAGAATTTTTCTTCCCCTAGAAGACCTTAATTTTACTTGTAAGGCCATTGAATTGATTAAGGTACACCCAGATTATCAAAGATAATCTTTATTTAAAATCAACCAATGATAGCGGTTAATCACATCCCTAAAATACCATCACAGAGATACGTGGATTAGTGTTTAAGTGAATAAGTGGGTACTGTAGCTTACCAAGTTGATACATAAAACTAGCCAAGTTGATACATAAGACTAACCATTCTACACAGGAACTGGGAGACCAGAAGCAGAACTGGCAGCTGACCAGGAGCTCACCAGGTGCAGGAGGAAGGAAGGGCAGGGTGTACTCGAGGCAGGAAAGCACAAGGTAGGCTTTGGGGAAGGCTGAATGGTCCTATGCAGCTGGGACCAAAGAGGAGGGGAGATGAGCTGAGAGCAAACTGGGACTTACGGGCCAATGAGCCGGGCAAAGGAAAGTCCCATGTGGCTTTTTGCTTATAACTTGATCATATTCAAGTTCTAGAAAGACCAGTCTGGGGTCAGCGTGGGCAATGGTAGAGGAGTAGGTTTGGAAGGTTTAGAGGAGAAGTGATGATCTGAATCCCAGAACCAGCAGTGAGGACAGAGGAGGAAGACAGGATTGGGAAGATACAGAAGAGCTGACTCCATAGGCCTCGTGGGCCTCCGTGCCGGTCACCAGTCATCCACCACTGTGCTACTGGGCAATCTCCAGTAGTGGAGACAACATATGTAACAATATCATGACTATGCTTGCCTGGAGAGCACTGAACCCAACACAGGGACGTATACCTACAAAAACCAAACACGTGCACACATACCCACACACACATACACAAACGCACAAGCACACACGTGATCTTTCGGGGCAGACACTATTTCCCCCCACATTTTAATCTCACCCAGGAACTTGTGCAGTTGGGATGCCCAGAAACAGTTTCAGATTCTAGCTTTTTAAAGTCATAACTAGAAACCCCGCCTATTCTCTCTTCACAAAATGGAAGAGAAGAGCATGAGGGTGCATAGCGAGAGTGGGTTGATAAATACCTTAAATCCCCAGTTCCATTTCCACTACAATTGCTTGAGCCTTACTTAGGCAGCTCGGGAAATTCCTGTTTGATCAGAGTCCGATGGGATTTATCTTTTTCCAGTGTTTTGGCAACAACCACTACTCACACTAAGTAGGTTGCCTTGGCATCTATATGGTAGTCTCTGAATCTGAAATCCGTAAAGTGCCCTCAAGATCGGCCTTGTGTGGAACTGAGTCTCAACACCACCGCCACCCTCGTAGGCAAATCCGGTCCCTAAGTCCCGACCTGAATGCACACCCGCTTGCCCCACTCTTTCCTCAACCCCTTCTCATCTTTCCTCTTGAGCACATCAGATTATACCAGATTTTCTTCCACCTTCCTTATCTCTGCCTTCAGAGAAGAAATTCAACATTTGTATACACCATTTTGAAATAATTTATTCAAAATACCATGTGCTGAGCATGCATGCCACGTTCTGAGCTAAGCACCAGGGATCCAGAAATGCATGAGAAACAGTGTCTTACCCTCCAGGAGCACAAGAGGAAGAGATTATCAAGACAATGAAGGGAATGTAGCCTTAGCCTGGGATTGGAAGGCAAATAAATATGGAATGGGGCTGGCCATGAACGCACATCATGGAGAAAACGTTTCAGGGCTAACATTACACACCAAGAGTCTGGTGACAAAGGGGCTCTCTGGGACTAGCTCAAAAGTGGGGGAGGAGGTTGGACTGAAACCTCTTCCAGGGGACCAAGTGATGGTGTCCCATCTGGAGACTCCTGGTCATTTCCAATTGAAGAGCAGGTGGCAAAGGGGAAAGGAAATGGGACTGGTGTGCTGCATGCACTATTCTCCTCCTTCGTGTTGACCAATGGAGGGACTTTGGTGTGGGAGCGCTATCAGGTCAGGGACTCCTGACAGTCAGGGACAGTGGTGTGGGGGAAGCAAGGTGTTTCTCTTCAGTGTCACCTGAGTCAGTGGGCTATGCACTTGTGTGGAGTCAGATGGTGCCCTTTGAGTCTTCTGGCTCCTTCCTTGACCTGGGGTCCAATCTTTCTCTGTGAACAAGAAAAAGAGGAGGATAAGAAGCAGAAAAGTACACAAAGACATCCAGATTTGGAGGGGAAGAAAATGAGTTAGTGGAACAGTAATTCCTGAACTTTCTCACTTCGTGGCACACATGGAAAAGAGTATGTGAAGAGCACATTGGGATACAGAGATGTTTGGCCTAGGCCCATGCAGATGCCCTGGGGACAATGTGCACCACGATCTTCACACCCCTGTGACCCACACTGATGGAAAAGCTCAGGAGAGATGGCTTCTACCAAAAGAGACAAAGGAACAGGAGAAATATTCAGAGGCAGAAACAGAAACCGAAGTCAAGGAGATCACCTCGGACAAGGGGTGCCCAGGGCAAGCTCCCAGAAGGCAGAGGCTGGAGAGAAGGAGCAGGTCAAGCAGCGAGCGACTGACCACACCTTGTGGCCTCACTCAGAAAAGCTCCTCTGATTTTCAGTTCCTAAGAGCAGCAGGAAAAGGGAGGGACAAGTGAGGCTGTTCCTCTGACCCCACTCTGTCCTGGCCCCACTCTGTTCCTCCCACCACCTCAGGCAGCAGCCCTCCGATTTAGGCAATGGAGAGGAGAGGAAGAAAAGAATCTCAGGGTTGGCTTTTGGGATGCTGATTCAGCTCTGCTACCTACCTTCCTTCCTCCGTAGGCAGCACTGAGCCCAGGAGGCCTCTATGGCCCTCCCTGGAAGGCCTCCAGCTGCAGGGACATGTCATGGCTTCTGGGAACAGTTGCTTGGAAGGTCTATGGGGGAGAAAACAGAGGCATCAGGATGTCCCTACAGTATCGGGAGCCTGCCTGGACCCAGGGCCCTGTGGGCCAACCTCATGCCCCGGGACCCCTACCCTTAAAAGAGGTTCTTTGCCAGTCTGGAGAGGTATGGGCTGGGATCCCACCAAGCCCATTTAGGAAATCTGGGGTGTGTTTTCAGATGCTTTCTCCTGCCCTCCCAACCTGCTCAGGTGCCCTGGGCATGTTCCTCTGCCTTTACCACCACCATCCCCCCCAACAACCCCCCGTCCAACTTTACCCTAGCTGCTGGTCTGAAGAGGGTCTTGACAACTCACATTAAAGGACAAAGAATGCTGGCAGCTTGGAGTGCATCTTTCCCATAAAGGAGTTCAATAGAAGCCTGTCCTTCATCCAGGGAAGGGATCTTTAATGGTGGGCATCACATATCTGAGCTAGGGTGGCATCTGGAAGGAGAAAGGAGTGTCTTGGCAAAGGCAGGATCTTCCCCAGGCCCCTGAAATCCCAGCCAGAAGAGCTCGTCAGGCCCTTCCTTCGCCGATACCCACGCTGCCCCAAGGAGCCGGTGATCCAGCAAGTTTCAGATGTGGTTCCCTGGGCTCAGAGGGAGCAGAGTAGCCTGGGCTGAACAAAAGGTCTGGGTTGAGCCATTTTAGAAATCCCTGCTTCCAGAGAATTCTACACCCAGGAGCTACATGGGAGAAGTGGATGCTTTACAGACCAAAGGCCACAGCACACTTAGAACCCTGCGGGGCTGCCCTGGAAACCCCAATGGGAGCAACTGCCACTGGGGGGGGGAGGGGCTGGCAGCCTGAGAGGCCACCGGTCCCCTCCACCGGCTCACTCACTCTCCTGCCCTCCTGAGGGAAGCAGAGGCTCTTGGCCCTGAAGGGAGGACACTCATGGTTCCCACGTCTCTTAGGGGAAAACCAAGGTTCAGAGAGACCACCAGACAGCTTGGGAACCAGCACAGAAACCCTTTCTCAATTAATAAGGTCCCGAAAAAAATTGTTCCTATACACAAATATATACAGTTATATAGAGATACTGTACCGGGTGGCTGCCATCTACCAGAAGCAGGTTTGCTAGCCCTAGGAGGTGGGCGAGGATGATGGCCCCGCAGCTGACACTGAGCTCAGGCTTTAGGCATAGCGAAAGCAAAAGGAAGCGGGGCTGGGGCAGCAAGGCCATCTGGGCTGTGTCTGCTGAGTCATGCTTGCCTGCTGACCCTACCACCCGTGACCCACTTGAGCCCCGGTTCTTGTGAAAGAGAGCCATCGAGAGATGACTATGCAGGAGGAAAGGAAGAATCTCAAGGGCACAGTGTCCAGGGTGGGTTGGGGGGGACAGAGAAAGTTAGAGATAAAGCAGAAACCCTTGTCAAGGTGGCAGTGACACTAAAAGGGAGGGGGAATGGTGGGAAGTCAAAAAAAGCAGGGTGGGTGGGTGAGGGAGAAAAAGGGAGGGAGGTAGAGGAGAAAAAGGTAGAGGCCTGGGGGAGGCCAAGTCCAGGGGCAGCACAGAGGGGCTGAAGCGCAGAAGCAGCGCACTGACCAGGGCTGGCGGGGTGGCCCTGGAACCTGTGGGGTGTCCTCTTTCTTCCCAGGTCATTGCTGAGAGGGAGGCAGGCAGAGGCAGGGAGCAAAGGGGCCAGCTGGAGAAACACAGGAGGGGACAGAAAGCCCAAAAGTGCCCTTGTCTTGTCTATGTCCCCTCAGCCCCTCTTCCCAACTCTCCCTCACCGAAGCCCAGCTCCAGAAACAAGGGAAAGGAAGGGGGAACCAGGTGAGGTGGGGTGGGAGGGTGGGAAATGGGAATCCTTTTCAGAAAGAAATGAACAGCTTAACAGTAATCAGTTCAGTGACCAGGAAACACCCCTCTAATGGTGGACAGTTAAGCATCCAGTATGGAACCCTGTGGGCGGGGGGAAGGGCAGTCGAGGGCACCTTCTGAACCCCTCACACCCCAGCCTGAGTCACCCCTTCAGGGCACACAAGGGGAAGCCAGGCCTGAGAGAGACCTGGAAGTAGCTCCTAGGCTGAGGAGGACGTTGAGCTGCCTCCTCCAGGAAGGCTGCCTGAAGAATTATGGGTCCAGACATGTTGGAATAGATAAGAGAGAGGGCTGCCAAGGCATGTTCCCTCCCCTAAGAGCCCCTGCCGGGCTGTTCAGGGAAACCCCGCCAGGAGTAACTGACACTTTTTCTTCCCTCCACCCTCGCTGTGGGGGAGCTATTTCTGGGCACCTCAAGGGGTGCTTCGTCAACCAGCTCTGTTGCCTCAAAGGCCCAATGCTCTGGGTGGAGACAGGCCATGAACAGGAATGGAAACTGGACTCAAAAGTCTGGGGAAAGGTAGTAGTCTCAAGGAAGATAATCAATGGCTCTCCACATAGCTCAGTGAGCACCAGCCGAGAAGGAAGATTTGGAGTTGGATTTCTCTTCAGGCAAGGGCTCGGGGACATCTAACTCTGGTGTTGCTGTTGGAGCATGCTCACATGTGCTCACCAGCAGACCCGGACAGAGGATTTTTTGGGAAAGTCCCTTCAGAAGACTGTCCCAGTAAACCAACTTCCCAATGGCTCAACTACCACGCATCTTGGCAAGGGGTGGAGTCCTGGCCGGGGTGTCTCTCTCACTCCCCTTTTGATTTTCCTTTTGTCAGTATCCTCTGGAATTTGTCGAGGGTTTCACCCATGCATAAGGTCATTGCTTTATCAAATCTTTGTTTGAGCTTTACTAGGCAGTGGGGATACAAAGATGAATGAGACAAAGTTTCTGTATTCAAGTATCTTTGTCCGTAGTGAGAAAAAGCACACTGACATGCTGGGAATGGAAACAGAAATGCAAGGCCCCCAGGCTGATAGCTTGGGTCTATACACACTGTGATTTTAGCCTGCACACATACACGCATCCAGAGAAAATGAACATTCAGGAAATGCCAGGGGAAATCCTCTCAGTCAGGAAATATAGAAGGTTCACTGTGACCAGCCAGGAAGTTGGAAGCTGGAATGTTTTTTTGCCCACTCAGAAGTTGAGTCTAAAAAAAAGAAGCAAACAAAAAACCCCAAAAAACAAACACACAAACAAAAAACAAAAACAAACCCACATACTCGCCCATGTTATCAGGGTCCTGATCTTGAGCAGCACTGATGTTGGGGAAAGGAAACCACTCAGGACCTTGATAGTCTTGTGGGAGTGGTGACCAAGGAAGCCATTGGATATGCCCCAATTTGTAAGGAGTTCTGAGGGTGGCATGGGCTTATCATGGACAAGGGTCAGATGTTTCCTGAAACCAGTGCAGGACTGAGGAAGGGAAATCCCCAAAATCCAGGCTTTGTGGATGCGAGTGCTCACAGGGCCTGGGATTGTGTCTGGAAGCTGCCTCTTCGGTACCTTTAGTCCAAGGATAGAAGCCAAGGGCTGGTCCCAAAAAGTGATAATAGCCCAGGTGATGGCCAAGGGGAGTCTTAGAAACTCATGGAAGGGACCAGGGAAAGGTGGAGTGACATTGGAGCATCACCAAGATGACACTTTCTTGCCATCAGAAACAGGGCCTGGCAGGAAAGGAAGTTATTCCCCACCCCACCTCACCCCGGTTGGGAGGATAGGAGGTTGGACCAAAGCCAGCTGGGCCTACTCCCTCTCTGCTGCTCCTGACTTCATCCATCCCTTTTGAGAAAAAGGTCCAAACAAAGGGCTGTTTGACCAATCTCAAACCCTGGAGAAGCTGGGACTCTGGACAGAGCAGGGCAAGAAAAGGAGTTAGAACTGCTGAAGTCTTATCTGCAGAAAGAAATTGAAGGAGAGAGTGCACAGCTGGGAGACGGACCAAAGTGAAAAGAATCATACTTGAGGGGCACCTGGGTGGCTCAGTCATTAAGCGTCTGCCTTCGGCTCAGGTCATGGTCCCAGGGTCCTGGGATCGAGCCCCACATCAGGCTTCCTGCTCCGCAGGAAGACTGCTTCTCCCTCTCCCACTCCCACTCCCCCTGCTTGTGTTCCCTCTCTCTGTCAAAAAAAAAAAAAAAAGAATCATACGTGAAATGTCATTACATACAAAAGAAGAGACAAGAGAGGGAGAAGGGAGTGTTGCTTAGGGGGACCAGAGTCAGAGGGAAATGAGGTCAAGGAGAGAGGTGACCAAAGAACCAACTGACTAGAACTTGCCCAGGGAAGGGAGCCGTGGGGGAGCAGAGACTTCGAGAGCAGGCTAGGGTGGCCAAGTGGACCAGACACTGAGTTGGCAAGAAAAACTTTCCTACTGGCAGCAGAAATGTAGCCATGTTCCATGCTGTGTGTGCAGACACGTGGTTCACCCTTGCCCCCTCTGCTCCTAACTCAGGACCAGCTTCTCCTGGAATAAACACTGATGAAGAAAAAGAGAGGAGGCTGAAGTGAGCAGTCCATTAGCAGAAGGTGGCGTTGTGCAGGTGTTCCTTGGCGAGAAGCTCATCTCCAGGCTATAAGTGGCCCCTCTGGGACCTGCTGGGACCCCTGTTCTGGGCTGACCCCAAGGAAAGCAGCAAATGTCTTTCCAAAGCCTGCCTGCCTCCCCAACCCTGTCCAGGTGCCCTTGATGAGAATAGCTGAGTTTCCCATCCCATAGTCAGAGGCCCCCCAGCCTCTTAGCCCAAGGGGTGGCCGCCAACTCTGAGAAGAAAAAGGCTGGCAGCCCCCATGCCTTTCTGTTTCAACCCAGAAAGATCCCATCTTGACGATAGCCTGTTTCCCACTGATGGGAACATAACTGGATAGTCCGAGGAGAGAGGCACATTTGGGCCTGGGCAAAGGGGGACATAGGGTGATTTCCACAGAAGCAAGGTCTTGGATCCCTCCACCCTTCTAGAAGTTTCCCTCTCTCCTCCCCTTAAGCCCAGGAAGCCCTGAGAATCCAAGGCCTGAGGGGGTTCAAATGGAGGTTGGCTCACAGCCTGGGGCCAGCAACTGGAGAGAAAAGCTACCCTCCCCTGGGGGAAGTGTTGGAGGTTGTGTGCCCAGGAACTACATGGAATAAGCAGTTGCAGTGTATGCATTTGAGGCCGGGCCCTGGGAGCCCCAGGAGCCCCTGCCCAGAGTCATTGTTCCTGGCTGGCCCTGTCTGCCTTCCAGCACACTTTCCCCAAGAGGAGAGCTGCTGTGGGCTCAGGAGACCCTACAGGTGGGATGAGGCTAGCACCCCTGATGCTCATGCCATGGAGCTTGCTGACTCCAGGGCACTCGGTAGAGACCAGAACTGGGAGAAGGCCTAAGCTGCTCCACGGCATGGGGGCTGGGAAGGACAGGGTACTTGGAAAATGGTGAAATCACAATTCAGTTCAAGAAGCGAGCAGCAGCCTGGGTAGGGGGTTAGGTTTAGGAGTTCTCTTCAACCAGGTTCCCCAGGTGATTTTCTCTGGATCAGCTGCTTTGACTATTTGACCTGCCATGTTGGGGTCTCCATGATTTCTACTTTGTTGGCATGGAAGCCATAGATAGCTTGCCCTTGGCTTGGACTCCCAAGACAGGGTCCCCCCAGAAAGTCCCCACATGACCCTATTGAGTAGTGGTAGTGAAACAAGCCCTCTTATCTGCTCTCTTTTCTGTCCTCATTCCACCATACCCCTCTGTTATTTCTTCATGTGTTTGTCACCAAACAGCTCTGAACTTGAACTTGGTGTCAGGGATACGATAATGAGTGGGCCACATAGCCCTGCTCTCAAGTTGCTCACCACATCCCAGGGAAAGCTATGGTTCTAAACATCAGGGGGAGAGGACGATGGTCACAAATGTTCGCCATGGCCTTTGTTAGACCTCCGATGTCAATGTGCCATAGTCTTTCTCTTACCTCACCCCTCACTGAGGGCTAAAGCCACTTTAGATGAAGATTGTGAAGATGTCAGCAGAAAACCACTTCTACCTTGGGAGTGGCAAGTAATGCTCTAGGCCTGTGCTCATCAAGATCTCATTATCTTGAAGGAGCTGCTACTTTGGGTGTCCAAATTCCTAGAATGTCCCTTTATGCTCTACTAACATTTTAGGGACCAGGAAAAATCTTGGAGGCTACATGTCCAATGTGGGAAACCTTTAAAATGTTACAGACTCTAAGTTTGTGAGGGGTTCTGAAGGGTCAGGTGCTTCCTGAGACCAGCACAGGACTGGGGAAGGGAGAGCAGGGAGCCCTAAAATCCAGGCCCTGAGGTGCTCACA